GTGTGTGTGTGTGTGTGTGAGTGAGTGTGTGTGTGTGTGACCTCTGGCTGATTCTCCAGTCAGTTTTGTTTACCGTGTTTGACGTGACAGAGCTTCTGTTCAGACAGTTTGTGAGTGGGAACTTTTTCTCAGTACTTAACACAAGTTTAAACTTGTTTGTGTGTCGTCCATAAATGTTATTTAACATCTAAATCTGAGCTGATGTTGTTTGTTAAAGCTTTCTGAAACTGTTGAGTTTTCCTTTCTCCTCTATGTTTCTCAGCAATGAAACTACACAGATTCCCAATAGAAAATGATCAAATTGACAGTATTTTGATGCTAAAGTAAATAATAATAATTAATTAATTAATAAAAAATAATTAATGTTCCAAGTACAGGGTCTGTGGACAGATATAGAAAACATACAGTATGCATTTTACACCAAGTAAGCAGGCAAAAACTTTTTTTTTTCATGTATTGGTCAGTTTTTTGTCTTTAAAATGTTTTCTCTGACAAACACCACACTTTACAGTTTTATTCCTTTCTATATTCTGAAGGTTTCTTCATATTTCATTCACACTGATTTATACAACATTTTACTGCTGAAAACATGGTGAAAATGTGTTTGTTTTCTGTCTGTTGAGAGTATTTTCTGATTTATGGAGCGATAAAAAGAGAAATCCAGAATCCCCTCTATAAGAATCTTTAACTCTAATATGAGGACAAAATCTGACATGAATTTATGAATCAGATTTCTGTTTTGGAAATGTATGCAAATTAGTGCATATTTAGTTAGACAATGGGTTTGCATATTTAAACATAACATTTGAGAAAACTAATACAAATCATTATAAATCAACTGGGTAAATATGGTGATATCTATGAGTTTTTTTTTTTTTACCCTATTCACCTGTGCTGCCTTTCCTTACACATATTATTACTAAATATATATTTTAATTTGTAACTAAATAATTACAAATTATAGTCTCAAGTCTATTATATATAGAGCCCTGCATGTTTAATTAGGCCTTTACTTGGCTTTTTAAATGAATGAACAAAGCCACTAAGCCAATGTAACTTTTAAACATTTCCATGGAAGTGAATGTTAATATCAGTCAACATTATAGACTTATAAATATCATTCAGTTATAAATATCAGAATCAAGCACACAAGGAATTTGTTGTGGTTTTTAGCAGCTTTTGGTACAAACATACATACATACATACATACATATATGACATTGGGAACAGAAAGAATATTGAAATAAGACTAAGGAAAAAAAACAACATCTGGAACAGAAGCTTTATGTACAGATTTGTGCATTTTTTTTACTGTATACAAGGGTCAACATAAAAACAATAAATATAAAGGGGGTGGAACAATTAGACAACGTTTCAAAGTTTTAGTTTTCAAATATCGTTCAAATCGTTTTTTGTCGTCAATGCATGACGTCATGTCAGTGAGAATAGAGGTGTGACGTAACGAGGAGGCGGGTCCCGCACCGGGTCACGTGACACCGCTGCGGCGCAGCTCGAGCGTCTGTCTGGAACGGAACCGAATCACCGGACAACGCCGCTCCGTTTACCGGCCCAGCGCGATCTTCCGCCTCCCGTGACGCGTTCCAGCAGCGGCGGCATCATGTCGGCGGTGCAGCGGATGAAAGTAGCGAACGAGAAACACAGTAAGACGATCACACAGAGAGGACACGTGCAGAAAACCACGGTACGCGAGCTCCAGCACAAACATATATATACACTACACATGCTCGATGCGCATTGCAAACACATCAATGCACACAATATACGAATATGCACACTGCGCCTGCAACACATCACATACACACTCGCATAAAATACACACCACTCACAAAAAGTATTGCATGTTTATGGCATCAGTACCATGGTATTCTCAGAAATAACATTTAGGTGCCTTATATCAGAAGTGCCATTTTATACCATCACTCTTTGATACAGTAATTGGTAGAGTAATTGATACAGTAATTATAAAAAATAATTTAATAACACACACACACACATACACATACACCAGGTTCCCGAAATATGGTGCTCCAGCCATGCCAAAATTATCCACTGCTTTGTAAAATACTTTCGCCTGCATCTGCTGTTGTTTTGTTTGTGTTTTAGCTCAGTTTTATGCTTTGTAGGTTTCTGCTCACTGTGAACGTCCTGCAAAACATTTTACAGAAATCCAGGGAAACAAATACAACATTTAGAGTTGTCAATAACAAGGTTTCTGTAACACTCCGATGCATTTGTCTTTCTCCCAGCTAAAAATATGTTCTAAGAATGTTCTGCTAACGTTCTTATTAAATTAGGAAAACATTATTTCTGAATGTTATCTGAACATTCAAAATGTCCAGTCAAACGTTTTTTTTTTCATGGTTATGCAAACGTTAATGGAACATTCCATTTTATCCTGTTGTAAACATGCAAACGTTACTGTTGTGTGTTTTTTGAATGTTCTGAAACAAGTAGCAACATTTAAAAATGTTAGATGAACGTTCAACTAAAATGTTTCAGGAAAAAAAACATTCCATTAACGATGTACAGATAATGTTCTGCGAATATTACGATAGTATTGTTCCTTGTGTGTGTAAACATACTTGGTAATAAAGCTCTTCTGATTCTGATTCTGATTCAATTATGATAGAGTATATAATGATTAGATTTACAGCACCTTTATAAATTAAATAAAAACAGAAAAATCAAAAACACGCTGATGTGCATTTTTTATTCATCATTTTGTAGAAGTAAGGTTAAAACAGTTTTTTTTTTTTTTTGTAGGAAAGTGCATCGCAATCTTGCTCCAACCAAAGTGATTTGAACGCACCTGATGTCATAATTACGGCTTCCCAACTTGTAGATTGAACACATAAATAGACAAATGTGACAAACGCATTTTTGGCAGAATTGGAACGCCATAATTTTTTTGTCTCAACAGAACAACAGTGTCAACATAAACAAACAACATGGACTAATGTAAAGCAGTCAACTCTTTTTTTTTGTTTTTGGCACAAACCTCGTAGCCTTAATCTTGTGATTGCATGTGTTTGAGCCGTAGATGTGTGTGGCGTTAATGCTGTCTGTATGAATGTGTTTGTCCCGCAGCGTGTGGTGAATGAGGAGAAGTCTCCGGTGGGTCCGTGGCTCCTCGCGCTCTTTGTGTTCGTGGTCTGTGGATCAGGTGAGATGTGAAAACAGCTCAACATATCTTACATCAGACACATGATTCATCAACACTCCTAAAGGAATAGCTCAGCCAGAAATGAAAATGTGCTCACTCTCAGACCATCCCATTTGCAGATGAGTGTGTTTCTTCATCAGGTTTGTAGAAGTGTAGCATTGCATCAGTGTCTCAGCAATGGATGCTCTGCAGTGAATGGGTGCCGTCAGAATGAGAGTCCAAACAGCTGATAAAAACATCACAATAATCCACAAGTAATCCACAGCACTCCAGTCCATCAGTTAACATCTGGAGAAGACAAAAGCTGAAACTAATCCAGCATTAAGACGCTTTTAACTCAAATACATAAAGAACCACCCGACGCGAAGCGGAGGTCGCTAGCCGTTAGGGATGCACCGGATGTTCGGTAACTGAAATTATTCGGCCAAAAATAGCAAAAAAAGCTCTTCCGGTGTTCAGCCGGATAAGCGAAAAAGACCGAATAAACTGTACCGAACAATGACGTGACGCGATCAAATAGCAACCAGCGAAGAGTGAGAGGCACAATGCAACAAACATGTCAGTGTGGAAGCATTTATAACTGTCCGAGAAAGACGCAAAAATCATTACAAGCACCGACAGCGAGAGACTGTTTAGTGCTGCATCGCATCTCTTCGATGAGAAGAGGAAGGGGTGATTGTTGCTGGTTACTCTATGATGATCGATGATTTAATGGCCTTAAACAATTAGTAAATAAACTGCAGAACGTTATGTTTTATAATACACGCGCACATTGCATTCTGACACGCGGTGCTATCTGCTCGTTAGCCAGAAAGTCCAAACCACGAGGGAAATCTGCACTCGTCAGTTGCTCAGTCACATTTTTATGATTTTCTTTTTACAAGGCACGTGACAATGCGATACGTGCGACTTATTCGTAATGAGACTCATTTATAAATCTGCTGTTGTCTTCCTGCGCGTTTCCGCCAAAATAAAAGTTGAGAAAAAGCAATAACTCTATAAACAATCATAAATGTTAGTATTGTAATTTTACTGTTGTTCTGTAAAATAAAATAAAAAGTAAGACAACAATAACGATAATAATTTCAACAGCTCTGTTTTAATACATTTATTATAACATTCACACATAGTGTTCAAATTGGGATTTGTAATATTTTCTAATGTTTTAAAAGAAGTCTCTTCTGCTCAGCAAGGCAGCTTTTGATTTTACAGTAAAAATACATGACTGATTCAAGAAGGGGGTCTGATCGCCAAAAAAATATTATTTTACTAACTTATTAATTTTAAGTTAAATTGTGCTTTGTTAGTATAATAATGTCTGCTAGAATGTAAAAAAATGTTCAGTGGTAAATACTTTGAAATTGTTGTTTTGTAATAGATTTTTTCTTTGATATTCACCATTCTTTTGAATGGTGAAAAAAATTGGCAAAATACATGGGGAAAAAACTCGGAAAACCGTGTTCGGTATTCGGCCTTCGGCCCAGTATTTTCATTTCGGTGCATCCCTACTAGCCGTGCATTATCCCGCTTATACCATGCTCATTTGCCAGCATTGAAAAGTTAAAGCTGTTTATGATGTTTGCAGTGCAATATTTGACCGGAAGGGTAAAAATAACGGTTATTATTATCAGTTATGGCTCGGTATCTCTAGCATTCTGCCTGCTACAGATCAGACACACAGATGAAATAGTGCGGTAAGATCACATTTATTTAAATGAATCATAGCATTTATTTGAATTAATTATCAATTGAGAGAGAGAGATGTGTGGGTGAGTTACCTGCATTTGTGCGTCTCTCTCTACAAACAATGAAGCTGTGAGTTTAGTTACTTCAAAAACAGCGATTTCACCTCGTCGTTGCTGAGGAATATAATGCAGCGATCCATTATTTAGGCTGTTTTATTAATAAAAGTCGCGGGGCAGCGTTGACAACAAGTCTCTGTGCTCCTGAATGCTTCTGTGTGTGTGCAGCGCGATCTCTCTCTCTCTGGGTTTGTTTGTGTGCATCAATTAAGGCAGAGTATTAATACAGAACGGTGATTAAACTGATTTAGAACTACCTGTGCATTAAATGGATTTAATGCATACCTGCCAGCCAATCAGAATCGAGTATTCAGACAGAACATGGTATATGAGTCCATAATAACGCTTCCTCCAGTGAAAAAGTGCATCTGCTGTTGTCTCTCACATCAGAATCCAGTCACATATTTGTTTAGAGCTGTTTAAACGCTGCTTGATCTGTGCAGATTTCTCTCCTGATTCACACCAGAACACTTTTTCACTGGAGGAAGCGTTATTATGGATTATGGACTCTTTTAGTTAAAAAGGTCTTAATGCTGGATTTGTCTCAGTTTTTGTCTTCTCCAGATGTTAACTGATGGACTGGAGTGCTGTGGATTACTTGTGGATTATTGTGATGTTTTTATCAGCTGTTTGGACTCTCATTCTGACGGCACCCATTTGTTGTTTGCTGTTTTTCCTCAGTAATGCAGAATAGGAACTTCATCTCAGATCCTGCTGATGCTCAGATGTTCCACCTGCATGAATAATGTGCTGTGTATTTACGTAGAGTCTGGTCTGTGCATTATCATATAGGTTATTTGCATGCTGTACATAACGAGGCTGTTGTTTCACAGATCTCGTATGTAAATCCTGTGGTTTTCAACAGCTAAAAATAATGTAACTGTAGCGTTAAAATTTAACCTGCAGTGTCCTCTAGGTTGTCTTGCCTTAACTTTTGGATTCTTTAATGCATAAGTGTCAAAATATGCAATATAACTTTTTTTTTTTCTTTTTATCCATGCAACTAATAGAATATGAGCTTTTATCTCACTGTGCTGTTTGCATTGTTTTGTCGTGACACAGGCTTTAAAGGGATAGTTCACACAAAAATCTAAATTACCCCATGATTTACTCACCCTCAAGCCATCCTAGGTGTGTATGACTTTCTTCTTTCAGACGAATCCAATCAGAGTTATATAAAAAAATATCCTGGCTCTTCCAAGCTTTATAATGGCAGTGAATGGGTGATATTTTTCAGTAGTCCAAAAGAAGTCCAATAAAGTGCATCCATCCATCATTAAAAGTGCCTCACACGGCTCCGGAGGTGCATAAAGACCTCCTGTAGCGAACCAATGCGTTTGTGTAAGAAATATATCCATATTTAAAACTTTATAAACCGTAATCTCTAGCTTCCGCTAACTGTTGTATGCGCGTTCATTCCGTAGCGTAAGCTCGTCTGTAAGAGCAAAACAAAACACCGGTCACGAATTAGAAGTACAAAACGAAGATTTGTAAAGAAAGATGTGGGAGGATTTTGATATAAGCCGAGAGGAGACTGGTCTTCCTTTGCTAAAGTAGGGAAACTTTGCTTCCTTTGCTCCTGTAAACAAACGTCGGTTCTCGCGAGACAAGCATATTCTCACCAGCAGTGTTGGCAAGTTACTTCCAAAATGTAATACATTATATATTACTAGTTACTGTCTTTTGAAAGTAATTAGTTACATTACAATATTACTGTCTCTGAATTGTAATGCGTTACACTACTTTTGAGTTACTTTCACCAAAATATCCACAGAAGTATTATAAAATGCCAAAATGTAGTTTATTGCTGCTCATTCTACACCCAGTGGAGGGTAATGTGGTAAGTCTATATAGCATAAAATAAATGAAATCATATTTAGATACCGGTATAGGTCCACATTAATGTTACGTTGTAGTTTAGGTTAAAAAATATAAGCACAAATCGCATTATTACATTCATAAATAAAGCGAAATATTATCATGTACAACCAATAAACACAATACCTAGCCTATAGGCTATAGTGAACGGTTTCAGAAGAAAACAAGAATGAAAAATATAAGTTGCTAAACAAACCAAAATGAATTATGCTAATTCAATGCGAAACTGAAAGCAAACGGTGTTCTCGTGCAGCCTACCTCTCTCATTCGGCATTAATCCAATTAAATGTGTTCATATTTGCGATGTATTTGAATGCTAAACTATTATTTATTATGTAAACCAAGCTTACTTAACGAGCTTAAAAAACATCCTCTTTAACAGCCCCTTTCCGCCACCTACTGGCGTAACAATGTAATCATAAATCTTAATTTGAAGCGTCAAATTACTTTCAAAAGGTGATTTACTCTATTTTAATCGTGAGTTTATATCTGAACTATAAACTTTTATCCCAGTTCTCCGTGAACGCAGATTTAAATGTTCAAATCACACTGGTGTGATCGTACGCTGCACGGATGAACCACGTGATCACAACATTGATCGCACACGTCAAAGCTTGAGGAATGAATCGGACGAATCATTGTAATTTAGGAATAGAATCACGTTGGGGTTTGAATTGTGTTCGCGATCTTTAACGATCTATTAAATTAAACAGCTTTGTCATGTTGGTGGTGACACCTCTCTTGCAACATGTTTAGCTATCACTGATATTATACATGGCTTTTTTGGCTTCTGATCGCAAATGTAACCAAACTTTGGAGCGCTTAGATTAGCGAGCAAGGTCCTGGCAGATCGCTAGCTCCTCACAGATGAAGAAGAAAAAAGCGCATAGGAATCGATAGGCGGAATCAAAATTTTAATTTGACAACGATTCCGATTCCTAACCTTAAGTATAAGGATAATCGATTTTCGATTCCCAACCCTAATCCTATGTCATCTGCCGGAATGAACAGGCGTACAACAGTTAGCGGAAGCTAGAGATTACGGTTTATAAAGTTTTAAATATGGATATATTTCTTACACAAACGCATAGATTCGCTACAGGAGGCCTTTATTCACCTCTGGAGTAGGGTTGTGACGGTGAGGAAATTTTCCCACCGGTTAATCGACGTGTTACAACACGGATAATACCGGTATCACCGCGGGGGCGTTCCCTCTTTTCCTCGCTTTCCTTCGCTTTTAAATAGCTTGCAAAAGCTGCTTGCGCATTTTACTTTAACTTTCAAATAGCGGCAATTCGGAGTAAAGCAATTGTTCGTTTGAATTTTCCCTGTTTTCCTCGCTTTCCTTCGCTTTTAAATAGCTTAAAAGCGCCGTGCGCATTTTACTTTCACTTTCGAATTAGTGGCAATTCGGTGTCAATTGCTTGAATGCAACAACAAAATACAAAGTCAAACTCACTTTAGCCTATATATAAAACATAGAACTTTTATTAACAAAACGAATAAAAATACACCATGCTATAGGGCAGGCTATGCCTAATATAAAATAACAAATAACTTGCATAAACTTTAAATAGGTATACAAAACTGGAAATGAGTAAACATTTATAATATATAACCAAATAAATAAGAAACGTA